TGCCAAATCTCCTTTTGGTACCACTTTACACATGACGAATTTGAACCAATATCCATGTCATTGTCGTCACCTAGAAGAACTAATTGAAATACTAACTGGATAAATAATCTATACGAAGAAATAGAGAAGATTGCTGTGTGTGTCAGGACTCACCTTTTCCTCATCTTCCATCTGCCAAGAACATGTCCAAACAGGTAAACATGCAAACATGTTAAAGCATGTAATCGCCGCGCGCGGTGACCCACTTCCCAGCGCGGCGACCTAGTTTCGAGCGCGGCGGTGAGTCCTGACACACACAGCAATCTTCTCTATTTCTTCGTATAGATTATTTATCCAGTTAGTATTTCAATTAGTTCTTCTAGGTGACGACAATGACATGGATATTGGTTCAAATTCGTCATGTGTAAAGTGGTACCAAAAGGAGATTTGGCAACTCACCAAACTTCCCTATTATGAAGATCTCGAAAGACAAGCGAATAAGACTATCGCTAGCATAAAGGTATGTCGACAACTACCGAAGTGCAAAGGTACAAAAGAAAGCTGGACACAGTTTGACGCAGGGGGGGTGCATTTTGCACTATGGCTGCTTTACTAGTCCCGGTTCACAAGACTCACTTTGGTAAAACTTGTTAACTCGTGTGAATCTGGGACAAGTCTGTCAAGCCACCATGGTAGAACCTTTCAATCCGTGTAAACTCACGAAATGACTCTAGATGGGTCGACACGTCAGTGGGAAGTGGCAAAAGTGCGAAATGCTTCCCCCTCCTCGTCACCGAACTTGAATGACACTTTTATTTGGAAAGTGCGTTCACATTTCGCAACTTTTTCGCTCTAATCGCGTGACGAAATCGCTCACGCGATTAGGACGACTGAAGCGTGAAGTGAGAAAGTAGTGTTAGGCGCGCACAGTCCACCTCAGTTTGTCGTTGATTACGACAAAGTTTGATTCTGAGTTGTGAGATGCGTTCATACTTTGCGGCAGCATTTTGAGCGTTTTTCAGCGTTTTGAGCGTCTTGACCGACTGCAAAAGCATAGGTATCGATTAACGCTAGTATGAACTCACTCCGAGACGGTGACTCTGCTGAATATACTTTTCTTCCACTTTCAGGCTGGGTTGTCGCACGCGATACTTCTGAATGATCCAGTCACTGGTCTTATGCACTGGGTACCAGAACTGGAGCGGTATGTTGGTACAATTGTATGATTTAAAGCAGCGCCCGCGTTCAATTTGATGTGTTAATGGGGCTCAGACAGTGACAACAAGGTGGAAAGTAGTTCATTAGTGAAGAAAAATGCAAAAAATCATCGGATATGTCCTATATAGAACCCCACGCGAGCTGAGGTTGTACGTGCTCAAGGCGAAGAGAAGGCGCGGCCGCACGAGTTCTCACTTGTTGGTATCAGCTGTTTTCCCTTATCACCTCACTCTCACCATTCGAAGTGAGAGAATAGCGGCGCCCGCTCGTGAAGAGTCGGCCACCCCGCCCACCTGGCGACCACTACGCCCAACTTCATTTCTAATGGTTGCCTGATGGTGCGGTTGTTCTGCTACTATTTCAGGGGCTGTTTATCGACGGGGGGAGGGCATTCGGCTTTTCTTAGACTTGCCAACCCTTTTCGAGTTGACACGTTTTAGGCAGCTAGACGATCTTGCTCCAGCTTCACAAGTTTTACCAGAGTGAGATTTGTAAACCGGAACCAGGGAAGCAATTATAAT